TAATCACATTTATTCCTTATGCCCACTTGTAAAGGAAGTATTTTTCTTAGCCGTATTTTACACTTGAGGAAATTTAAGTTCAGAGATACTAAGTAATTTATTCAAGGTCCCTGGTAGTACCAGGACTGCAAAGACAGGCATTCTGATTCTAAAGTTTGTATTCTTTATATTGGCATACTAAGGTCATTTTCTGTCCCTGCTTCTCTCTTTAAATGATATCTCTCTGAATATTCTCTGTTAGCAATCCGATGGGTGGACACTGATAACTCTGACTCAATGCATGACAGAAGCCTGTTTCCTAATTTATTAAATAAAAGAAGTAGATCAGATGATCTCTAAGATGCTATTGTAAATTGAAAGCCTATGGCATTAGAAGTGATTGCTAGGTAGACACACACAGGATCTGGTTTAGGAAATAACTCCTAATTTGTCTTTACTCTGGATGAAAAAACTGTGGTAAAAGAGGCAAAGGCTAAGAAATCAATTTCCTCCTTCTTACTCTCCAAAATCTAAAATTATTATTTGTGTTTTTGAGACACAGTAGAGGTATGTAGTGTACCCTCCTCCTATAGTTCATATCCAGTATCCAGGGGTAAATTCAACTGTAATCATCTTCATAATGTTTTCCCAGACTACAGTAGCACACAATCATTTTCTTCTTTCTCTCACTTCCACCAGCAATGGTTGTTACCCAGATATGCCATTATTTTTCTTATTTAGAAATATCTTGTATAATAGCTGTCCAAAAACACGTTACATTTAAAATTTTGCCTACTTAGTGAATTGAGTCCTCTTAAGATGCTATGTGTCAGAGATTTAAATTCTCCTCATGTATAGAATTTTCTTCCTAGTTTCCATTCATAAATGTATGTCATTCATTTCTAAGTCACGTTTCCAACTATGTTTACTCTTTTTAATAGGCTGAAATGTGGATGGCATATAACTAGAAAATTTCTTCGTAAAATCACTGGGTAAACAAAAGTATACAATAAAAAAATCGAGTCATTTCTTTTTCATAAAGTGCAAAGCAACTAAACTTAACCAGAGCTTAACTAAGATCTTAACATGGCCTAGGAGTCCTGGCATAGTTTAGTCTCTACCTACCCTCAAGCCTCCTCTTGCTCCACTGTCCCCCTGTTGCTTTCTGTGCTTTAGCTATACTTAACTCTTTTCATTCGTTGAAACTCTCCATGCTCCTTCCTACTACAGGAACTTGCACATGCCATTTCCTCTGCTTGGAACTCCCTTACTTGCCCACTACCCTCTGTCTAGGTAACTCCTATTCCTCCTTCAGATCTCAGCCTAAGCCCTCTTCATTGTCATATGTGAGTCAAGGTACCATATCATGTTTTCATGGCATCACATTCCTCTCTTTTGTAGCATGTAACACATTCATAAATTTTACATTTATTGGTGGGTTTTCAATGTCTGTGTCTCCCAGTAAATTATTGTAAGCTCCATGAAGGTGGGGTACATTGTCTTTGTTTTCCCACATCATCGTATCTCCAGCACATAGCACAGTGCCTTGCATATTTTAAGTACTCAATAAATATTTGTTGGATAAGTATATACTGCCAACTAAATGCAAAAGAGCCTCAGATATGTTGATAATCCCAATATTAAATACTCTTCTATTTATAGAACGAGTTAAGACTATTCACATAGGAAATACTGTCACCACAGGCATGCCCTAACATACACAATAAATGACCTTTCTCCTTTATAAAAAAAAAAAAAGAGAGAGAAAAGAAAATCTAAAGCCAGAGTTACTAGTTGACTTCCCCAAGACAGAACAAAATCTAAATTCAGATATCTTGATTACTCATCCAGTATTCCTCTCATTACATTGGAAAAGGTAGGATGGTACAATAGAAATATCATAGATTATCAATTCAGGTAACCTGGCCTTGAATTCTGCCTTATTTACAAAATGGCAATGAGTAATTGCTTAACCTCTCCATGGCTGTTTTTATACTGAGGATAATGCCAATCACATAGGATTTTTGTGAAAATTAGAAATATATATAGCGAGAGTCCCCAGAATAATGTCTTGCACATAGTAGGTAGTAAATAAATGGCAGGCATGCTATAACCTAAATCTCAGTGTGTTCATCTTAAAATTCAAAATCTTGTGTTCTGGATCTTCTTATATCAGAGTGTATTATATATCAAGTCAAATTCACGTATGTAAATAATTTACTATTTGTCATTTGTTCAAGCTTTAGGTCCATTTACACATATAGCATGTCCTGATCAGTAGTGTCTGAGTTAGACTACAAGCAGGAACCACAGCTGCTTAATTTTAATCAGCATCTTGGGCATATAGTTGCTTAATTAAAGCATTTTGTGTTGGTGTTGATTTAATAGCACAACATGTTGTTAATTGCTGCAGTAAATTTGACTGTACCACAAGAGGCAAACCAACATGGAAGCTCTTACCTGGGAAAAAGTGAAACAATTTTTTTTTAAAGTTTAGTTTTGTCTTACTTTCCTAAGCAGAGGAGGCAAAAAAATAAATAAAGATACATCTTGGAGAGTCCTCTGAAGAATAAAAGAGGGTTATACCCAGCTTTACAAATAGCCAGTGGCTTAGTACAAAATTTATGTCTGATTATAAAATAAAGAAAGTTTATTTCATTTATATTCATTCACTCATTTAACAGATATTTTAGTACCTTTGTGTCAGGGACTATAGTTTCAGCAATGAGCAAAAGCAGATATAGTTCTTCTGAATGTATTGAAGGAGACTGACTATATATATATAACTACTCTGGCCCCTCCAGAGGCAGAGAAAACCAGTGTTCCTTAATTTCAAGGTTGCTGAAGCTTCTTTTACATTTCTTGTAGTTCTATTTGATACAGAACACAATTGACATTAAGTAAGTTGCTCTAGGACATATCTCAGCCTCACCTCTAAGCAGTCTCAGAACAGAAGGCCCAAGGTCTAGGAGGGTGATGAGATGGAAAGCTCTGAACCAGGAGTAGAAATATGAAGCTAGGTTTTAGTCCTGAAAGTGGTACCTTATGACCTTGGGCAAGTCCCTTAACCTCTGGTCATCAGTTTCTTCATCTATTAAAGCAGATGAGGTAGAAAAACTAAAATTAAGTAAACAAAAATAACAATACCAATAACAAAGATTCTATGACAATGCTATAACATGGCTCCAGGGTATTCTAGATTTGTATGCCAATTTGGTAGACATTTGCTGTAAATTTATTTAAAAATTCTATGTACTATTAATAACTATATATTTATTTTAGAAACAGGTTTCAATTACATTATTTTCATAGAACTCACAGTTTGGAGGAGTCCTAAGAGGCCATTTAGTTACATTGAGATCATTCCCACTAGCTGATCATGTTAGATGATTATCTATTCTATTTCATAAGGATTTTCCCAGGAGTGAAATTCAGCTATCTTTTTTTGTTGACTAACCTAGTATTTAACAAACCTCATTATTAAGCATTTCTTCATTATATGTAACCTAACACTACCAATATAGTTTAAACCTGTTTCTTTTAGCTTTGTCGTCACAAGAGGAGAACTGGTAGTTGACATCCTCCTATAATAATATTTCATAGATGTATAAACAGTGATTAAATTATAACTTCAGCCATATCAACAGAATGAATATGTTTCCAACTGTGATTTCTGCAACCTTTTGAGAAGATTGTTAAGAAACAATCAGAAATCTTATCTACTTTCTATTGAAGAAATATTAGAAAGTGAATCATATTCTTTCTCAAATATAAATTAGCATAGTGGCAATTGAGAGCAATAGGCACTACGAAGAACATATGAAGATTTCTCAAAAAGTCAAAAATAGAACTACTATATGATCTAGCACTCTCACTATTGGAAATTTATCCAAAGAAAAGGAAGTCATTATATCAGAGAGACATCTGCACCGCCATGTTTATTGCAGCACTATTCTCAATAGCCAAAATTTGGAAGGAGCCTAAGTATCCATTAATAGATGAATGGATAAAGAAAATATGGTATAATATGTACAATGGAATACTATTCAGCCATAAAAAAGAATGAAAATCCTGTCATTCATGGCAACATGGATGGAACTGGAGAACATTATGTCAAGTGAAATAAAGAACAGAAAATTAAACACCACATATTCTCACTCATATGTGGAAACTAAAAAATGTTGATCTCATAAAAATGGAAAGTAGGAAAGAATACTAGAGGCTGGGAAAAAGAGGGGGAAGGAAGAGATATGGAGAGATTTACGTAAGGATACAAAATTACAACTAGATAGTAGAATAAGTTCTAGTATTCCATACCAATGTAGAATGACTATATTTAACAATAATATATAGTTTCAAATAGCTAGAGGAGGATATTGAATGTTCCAAAAACAAAGAAATAATAAACATTTGAGATGATAGATATGCTACTTACCCTGATCTGATCACCATACATTATGGTGACTGCAAAAGTAATTGCAGTTTTTGCATTGTTGGAATTTGCCATTTGATAATGGAATATGTTCTTAAATAAATGTGGTGATGTTATATATCATTTTAATGGGCATTTCTTGCTTTATGTTTTTTTGCTAATGACTTATTACTTCCTATGTATTTTAGACTATAGAAATGATATTATACAAAAAGCAAATTCAAGCAATTTTCTTATTGGAATTCAAAATGGGTCATAAAGAAGTAGAGATAACTTGCAAGATCAACAGTGCATTTGGCCTAGGAACTGCTAGTGAATGTACAGTGCAGTGGTGGTTCAAGAGGTTTTGCAAAGGAGACAAGAGCCTTGAAGATGAGTAGCATAGTGCCTGGCCATCAGAAGTTGACAACGACCAATTGAAGCAAATTGGAAAGGTGAAAAAGCTTGATAAGTGGGTTCCTCAGGAGCTGATTGAAAATTTAAAAAAAATGTCATTTTGAAGCATCGTCTTCTCTTATTCTACACAACAATAATGTACCACTTCTTGATCAGATTGTGATGTGCAACAAAAATTGAATTTTATACAACAACTGGTGATGACCAGCTCAGTGCTTGGACCAAGAAGAAGCTCCAAAGCACTTCCCAAAGCGAAATTTGCACCAAAAAGGTCATGGTCACTGGTTGTCTGCTGCTGGTCTGATCCACTACAACTTTCTGAATCCCAGTGAAACCATTACATCTAATAAGTATGCTCAGCATATCCATGAGATGCACTGAAATTGCAATGCCAGTAGCCAGCACTGGTCAAGAGAAAGGGCCCAATTCTTCTCCACAACACCCAATCACACGTCACACAACCAATGCCTCAAAAGTTGAATGAATTGGGCTACAAAGTTTTGCCTCATTCGCCATATTCAACTGACCTCTTCCCAACCTACTGCCATTTCTTTAAGCATCTCAACAACATTTTGCAGGGAAAACACTTCCACAATCAGCAGGATGCAGAAAATGCTTTCCAAGAGTTTGTCGAATCCCGAAGCATGGATTTTTATGTTACAGGAATAAACAAACTTATTTCTTGTTAGCAAAAATGTGTTGATTGTAGTGGTTCCAATTTTGATTAATAAAGATGTGTTTCAGCCTAGTTATAATGATCTAAAATTCATGGCCCAAAACTACAATTACTTTTTTTTTAATGTTCATTTTTTCCCCCATTTATTTATTTTATTGCATTTTAGGTTTTGGGGTACATGTGAAGAACATGCAAAATTATTGCATAGGAACACACGTGGCAGTGTGATTTGCTGCCTTCTTCCCCATCACCTACATCTGGCATTTCTCCCCTTGCTATCTCTCCCCAGCTTCCCACCCCCCACCGTCCCTCCCCTATTTCCCCCCAACTGACCCCAGTGTGTAGTGCTCCCCTCCCTGTGTCCATGTGTTGTCATTGTTCAACACCCGCCTATGAGTGAGAACATGCAGTGTTTGATCTTCTGCTCTTCTGTCAGTTTGCTGAGAATGATGGTTTCCAGGTTCATCCATGTCCCTACAAAGGACACAAACTCATCGTTTTTTATGGCTGCATAATATTCCATGGTGTATATGTGCCACATTTTCCCTATCCAGTCTATCGTCGATGGGCATTTGGGTTGGTTCCAGGTCTTTGCTATTGTAAACAGTGCTGCAATGAACATTCGTGTGCACGTGTCCTTATAGTAGAACAATTTGTAATCCTTTGGATATATACCCAGTAATGGGATTGCTGGGTCAAATGGAATTTCTGTTTCTAGGTCCTTGAATCGCCACACTGTCTTCCACAATGGTTGAACTAATTTACACTCCCACCAACAGTGTAAAAGTGTTCCTATTTCTCCACATCCTCTCCAGCATCTGTTGTCTCCAGATGTTTTAATGATCGCCATTCTAACTGGCGTGAGATGGTATCTCAATGTAGTTTTGATTTGCATTTCTCTGATGACCAGTGATGATGAGCATTTTTTCATATGTTTGTTGGCCTCACGTATGTCTTCTTTTGTAAAGTGTCTGTTCATATCCTTTGCCCACTTTTGAATGGGCTTGTTAGTTTTTTTCTTGTACATCTGTTTTAGTTCTTTGTAAATTTTGGATATCAGCCCTTTGTCAGATGGGTAAATTGCAAAAATTTTTTCCCAATCTGTTGGTTGCCGATTTACTCTAATGACTGTTTCTTTTGCTGTGCAGAAGCTGTGGAGTTTGATTAGGTCCCATTTGTCTATTTTGGCTTTTGCTGTCAATGCTTTTGGTGTTTTGGTCATGAAGTCCTTGCCTACACCTATGTCCTGAATGGTTTTGCCTAGATTTTCTTCTAGGGTTTTTATGGTGTTAGGTCTTATGTTTAAGTCTTTAATCCATCTGGAGTTAATTTTAGTGTAAGGTGTCAGGAAGGGGTCCGGTTTCTCCTTTCTGCACATGGCTAGCCAGCTTTCCCAACACCATTTATTGAACAGGGAATCCTTTCCCCATTGCTTGTTTTTGTCTGGCTTGTCAAAGATCAGATGGTTGTAGATATGTTGTGTTGCCTCCGAGACCTCTGTTCTGTTCCATTGGTCTATATCTCTGTTTTGGTACCAGTACCATGCTGTTTTGATTACTGTAGCCTTGTAGTATAGTTTGAAGTCTGGTAGTGTGATGCCCCCTGCTTTGTTCTTTTTGCTTAGAATTGACTTGGCTATGTGGGCTCTCTTTTGGTTCCCTATGAAGTTTAAGGTGGTTTTTTCCAGTTCTGCGAAAAAGGTCATTGGTAGCTTGATGGGGATAGCATTGAATCTGTAAATTACTTTGGGCAGTATGGCCATTTTCACGATATTGATTCTTCCTAACCATGAACATGGAATGTTTCTCCATCTGTTTGTGTCCTCTCTTATTTTGTTGAGCAGTGGCTTGTAGTTCTCCTTGAAGAGGTCCTTTACATTCCTTGTTAGTTGTATTCCTAGGTATTTTATTCTCTTTGTGGCAATTGTGAATGGAAGTTTGTTCTTGATTTGGCTCTCTTTAAGTCTGTTATTGGTGTATAGGAATGCATGTGATTTTTTGCACATTGATTTTGTATCCTGAGACTTTGCTGAACTTGCTTATCAGTTTCAGGATGTTTGGGGCTGAGACAATGGGGTCTTCTAGGTATACAATCATGTCGTCTGCAAATATGGACAATTTGACTTCCTCCTTTCCTGTTTGAATGCCCTTTATTTCTTTTTCTTGCCTGATTGCTCTGGCTAGAAATTCTAATACTATATTGAATAGCAGTGGTGAGGGCGGGCATCCTTGTCTGGTGCCACATTTCAAGGGGAATGCTTCCAGTTTTTGCCCATTCAGTATGATATTGGCTGTTGGTTTGTCATAAATAGCTTTTATTATTTTGAGATACGTTCCATCGATACCTAGCTTATTGAGTGTTTTTAGCATAAAGAGCTGCTGAATTTTGTCAAAGGCCTTCTCTGCATCAATTGAGATAATCATGTGGTTTTTGTCTTTGGTTCTGTTTATGTGGTGAATTACATTTATAGACTTGCGTATGTTGAACCAGCCTTGCATCCCCGGGATGCAGCCTACTTGATCATGGTGGATAAGCTTTTTGATGTGCTGTTGCAATCGGCTTGTCAGTATTTTATTGAAGATTTTTGCATCTATGTTCATCATGGATATTGGCCTGAAGTTTTCTTTTCTTGTTGAGTCTCTGCCGGGTTTTGGAATCAGGATGATGTTGGTGTCATAAAATGATTTGGGAAGAATTCCCTCTTTTTGTATTGTTTGGAATAGTTTCAGAAGAAATGGTACCAGCTCCTCTTTGTATGTCTGGTAGAATTCGGCTGTGAACCCATCTGGACCTGGGCTTTTTTTGGGCGGTAAGCTCTTAATTGCTGCCTCAACTTCAGACCTTGTTATGGGTCTGTTCAGGGTTTCAGCTTCTTCCTGGTTTAGGTTTGGCAGGAGGCAAGTGTCCAGGAATTTATCCCAAAACTACAATTACTTTTGCACCAACCTAAATATATTGAAACATCACTATAGACTCCGTGAATATATACAATTATTATGTTTCCATTTTAGAAAAGCCACAATAAAATTACTTAACCAAATATGTACTTCTCAGTTCAGTTCAGCAAAGACCAAGGCTTTAGTTCAGTATTGGGTTCATAATAAATGTTCCTCAAGTTGATTATAGGAACTAAAGGAGTAATGTGTTACATATGGACACTGAGAGAGAAAGATCGTCACTGTATATAACCACAAATGCCTAAAATGGGTGGGATCGAATCTTCCTCTTTCCTTATGACAAATAGGGAGAGGCAGTAGTACCAGTCAAATGCTATCTTTAGGCATTGCAAAAGTAAGGTAGTAGCAGTATTTTGAAGTATAAATGAACATCTATATAATTGCAAATAAAGTACTTAAATCCTCTGAGACACAATTCCATACCTGTAAATATGTAAATTAGACTAGATGACCTAGAATTATAAAAACAGGTAGATATAATTCTAATATTTTATAATTTTCTAGTTCCATCGTTTGGTGTATCAACTTAGCAGTTGTATTGTTGGCCAACAAGTTATTAAAGCTATTAAATACAGTGGGGCACGGTGGCTCACACCTGTAATCCCATTACTTTGGGAGGCTGAGGCAGGTGGATCATTCGAGGTCTGGAGTTCGAGATCAGCCTGAACAACATGACAAAACCCCATCTCTACTAAAAATACACACATACAAAAAAAATTAGCTGGGCTTGGTGGTGCATCTGTAGTCCCAGCTACTGGGAGACTGAGGCAGGAGACTGCAGTGAGGTGAGATTGTACCACTGTATTCCAGCCTGGGCAACAGAGTGAGACTCCATCTCAAAAAAAAAGGGGGGGGGATTAAATACATTCCCAACATAACACCAGGTTCCCTAGGTGATACAAAAAGAACATAAAACATAGTCTTTGCCCTCAGAATAATAGGATCTAATCCGAATGAAAAACTGAGCCCCCACAAAACAACTTGGAAAACTCTATTCCATGCATTAAGAATTCATGGAAGAGAGCCATCAGGGTGAATGAAATACTTGAACAAGACTTCCTGAAGTTGGGCCTTGATTGGGCCTTGAAGAATCAGTACAATTTGCATACACAGGGAGAAGGAGGCACATTTCAGGAAAAGAAGGAATTAAATAATATGAGCAAGGTCAAGAAAGCAAAATTTCACATGGAATATTTTAATTAAAATAAGAGATGGATAGATAGACCCACTTAAATGAACCCTTAAAAGGGTTTTTGTAAAGGGTAATAGAATGTATTGATAAGGACAATTCTAATATTGCTAAGGACAATCCTATTTATTGACAAACTGAATAATTATCAGAGGGCCTAAATTTTAAAAAAAAACACTAGAAGTTATTCACTATAACACTTTAAACATCTTTAATATTTCATGAAAAAATCAAAACTAAAGTCTTTTTAAAAAGCCATAAAAACTGAGTGATGTTAGGTATCATGCATGCTATGTCAACCATTTTTCTAAAACAAGCTTTGAAAAAATACCAACCCCTGAATCATCTTTTTCAAATGCTAAAAAGACAAGATGCATTCTAATACAGAGAGTATTCACAGAAAGGTTGGTATGGATACATCTCAGAAATCTTAGTATCTGTATCAGCTGTACATAATTATTTCAGCCACCCACATAAATCTTAACATACCAAGAGGGGAAAAAAAAAAAAAACCCAGCAACTACAGACTCTTCCCTGTGATCACTTAGGTTTGCTGCTTCAGTTCTTTAAGTACAGGTAGCTGGTTCCAAATCATGTAGAATCTTCTATGTGTAGGCCTAGTACCTGTCTGTATCTTGGTAGCCAGGGATAGAATAATGAACTCAAAACAATTTACACACAATGTGATCAGGTATGTGTTAGACTAAAGGCAAGGTTTTTGACATCGTAAGTTTTACTTTAGTGTTTTGTGGCCTTTATGCATATTTTTCGTTTGAATTTAATAAATTTTGGTGAAACTGAGAAAAATTATGCAGAGACTGCCAGACAGCCATTGACAAGTGTATATTACAGTTTGGTCATAATTTTAAATAAGTCCAACTTCTGGAGTCATAAAAGTTGTTCCAATTTTCTCTGGAGAAGTGACTTGCCTAAGGACATACAGTTGGTTAGTGGCAAGCTACAGTCTCCTCCTGACTCTAAATCTAACCAATACCTTCAAAAAATATTTAAAATGTTTATAAGTTATAAAAAGCACAAAGAATAATACAATAAATACTTTTGTTCCTACTACTCAACTTAAAAAATAAAACATTATGAATATAGTTGAATTCTTATTGTATACCTCTTCCCTGATCATCTTGCCCAACAATTAAATGGTATCTTGAATTTGTTTATAATTTTTATATATTTCTATACATACTTATAATATGTATAGTATATATTTCCAAGAAATACATAGAATTGTTGAGGATACTTTAAAACTTTATATAAACTGTTCCATATATACACATTCTTCTATACTTGTTTTTTTCAGCACTATGTTTCTTCATCTGTAATTATTAATGTAGCTCTAGTCCATTCATTCTCCTCTACTAATAGTATTTGTTGTATAAATATTTAATATACCATAACTTATTTATTCCTTTGCTTGTGGAGATTTGTTTCCAATGTTGGTATTATAAACAATATGCCTTTAAAAATATATTCATATGCGTATCTCCTGACTTACCATGAGAGTCTATCCAGGAATTCACCTAGGAGAAAAAGTGCTAGGTCATTCATTTGTTATATACATCTTCAACTTTAATAGATATTGCCATATTATTCTCCAAAGTAGTTGTAACTATTTACCACCAGCAGTGTAGAAAATGTCTCATGTTCTACATTCTAGCCCAAAATTGGAAATGTCAGACTTGGTGATTTTTGCAAATTTGATAGGCATGAAATGTTAACTTGGTGGTACTAACTTGTATTTTACAGATTACTAGTAAGAATGATAATCTTTTTATGTTTATTTGTCATTCATGTTTCCTCTTCTACGAACTGCCTATTCAAATCATTTTTATAATGGGTGTCTTTTATAAAAAATGTTTGGAGAAGTTCTTTATATATTCCTGGTAACAATCCTTATCAGTTATATGTGTTACAAATATCTTCTCCTGGTTTTTGGATTTTTTTTCCCACATTTTAATGATGACTTTTGATGAACAGAAATTTAAAATTTTAATGTGTCAAATTTATAAACTTCTTATATTATGAGTGATTCTCAGTTTATCTTAAGAATTTCCCTGCTGGGCACAGTGAGTGGTTCATGCCTGTAATTCCAGCACTTTGGGAGACTGAGGTGGGAGGATCACTTGAACCCAGGAGTTAGAGACCAGCTTAGGCAACATATTGAGACTCTGTTTATACCAAAAAAAAAAAAAAAAAAAAAAAAAGGCGGCATGGTGGCATGTGCCTGTATTCCTAGCTATTAGGGAGGCTGAGGCAGGAGGATCACTAAAGCCTAGGAGTTTGACGTTGCACTGAGCCGTGATCATGCTACTGTACTCCAGCCTGGGTGACAGAACGATAGAGCGATACAGCAAGACCCTGCCTCTCAAAAAAAAAAAAGTTTCCCTACTCCAAAGTCATAAATACATTTTCCTATACTTTTACTTAAAAATTTAAAAGTGTTGCCTTGATGCTCTTTCCAACACACTAAAATTAAATGTTTTGAAGTATGTACTGCACCCAGGAAATGTTCCTCATTATGCTTAGGTGTCAGGATGTGCTCTGGCCAACAAGGGACACACCATAAATGTGATTGAACAAGACACTCCCTAAATCTAATTTGGAACAGTGCGTGATCTCCCAAGTATTAAAGAGAGTTTCCACAATATTCTCAGGTACAACATGGTTCTTGTATTGGTAAATGTGCAGAGGTCACAGATAATGTGAAACTTTGTGAGACTCTTTAACACTAACTTCTCAGGTATGCTTTGCTTTAAGGAATCATAAAAGTTCAATACAGAATGAATTCTATAGAAACAAAATTTACTATCCTAAAAGGTAGAGAAATTCTCTAATATTTAAATTTTTAAAAATGTGGTTACAAATGGATTATGATGGTTAATATCATAGCATACTATATCAGTGGCTGATAGAAGTTCAGATACTACTTTTTTGTATAATTTTCTCAGCTCTTTTTCATTATTCATCAGTCTCCAGCCTCTCTTACAATATCAAAGTTTTTACCATGCCTAGGCTAATGAGGCATCAGGTTATTTAAAAAAAATTTTGGTACATTATATTTGTATATATTTATATGGTAGACATGAAATTTTATTACATGCATAGTGTATAAAGATCAAGTCAGAATATTGAGGGCATCCATCACCCATGTATTAATCATTTCTATGTGTTGGGTACATTTCAAGTCCTCTCTTGTAGCTATTTTGAAAAATACAACACATTGTTGTTTACTACAGTAACCCTACTCTGCTACTGAACATTAGAACTTATTTCTCCTAGCTAACTGTATGTTTATTCCCATTAACCAATCTCTCATGCCCCCTACCCTGTTTTCCACTTCCCCCTTCCAACCATACACCTTTCCCAGTTTCTGGTATCTATTTCACTCTATCTTCATGTGATCAACTTTTGTAGCTCCCACATATGAGTGACAATGTGCAGTATTTGTCTTTCTGTGTCTGGTTTATTTCACTGACCATAATGAACTCCAGTTCCATCCATGTTGCTGCAAAGGGAATGACTTCATTATTTTGTATGGCCAAATAATATTCCATTGCGTATACATACCACATTTTCTCCATTCATCCACTGATGGACACTTAGGTTGATTCCATATGTTGGTAATTTGTGAATAATGCTACAATAAACATAACCATGCACATATCTCTTTGATATATTGATTTCTTTTCCTTTGGATAAATTGCCAGTAGTGGGATTCCTAGATTGTATGGTAGTTACATTTTTAGTTTTTTCTGAGAAATCTGCATACCGTTTTTGACAATGGCTATACTAATTTACACTTGTTTCCTTTGCTGTGCAGAAGCTTTTGAAACTTGATGTGATCCTTTTTGTCCATTTTTGCTTGGATTGGCTGTGCTTCTGGCCTATTACTTAAAAAGTCTTTGCCCAGTCCAATGTTCTGGAGAGTTTCCCGAATGTTTTCTTTTAGAAGTTTCATGGTTTGAGGTCTTAGATTTAAATCTTTAATCCATTTTGATTTTCTATATGATGAGAGATTGGGGTCTAGTTTCATTCTGCACATGTTTATCCAGCTTTCCCAGTGCCATTTATTGAAGACTATCATTTCCCAATGTATGTTCTTGGCACCTTTGTTAAAAATGGATTTACTGTATAGATTTGTTACTGGGTTCTCTATTCTGTTCCTTTGGTATATGTGTGTGCTTTAATGCCAGGACCAAGTTGTTTTGGTTACTATAGGTGTGTGGTATAATTTGAAGTCAGGTAATGTGATTCTTCATTTTGCTCTTTTTGCTAAGGCTAGCTATGGCTATTCTGGGTCTTTTGTGATTTCATATAAATTTTAGGATTATTTTCCATCTTTTCATTTGTTGATCATTTGTATTTTTTTGTCTGTGTTTTCTGTAGGTGTGCTCTGGTCTTTACTTCTTTCCTCATGCTAATTTTGGGTTG